TATTTGGGTTTAGGGTTGAGGGTTTTGTTCATAGGGTATTTTGGTTTAGGGTTGAGGGCTTTTCATAGGGTATGTCGGTTTAGGGTTAGGGTTTTTCATAAGGTATATGCATGCAGGAGTGCAGCGTGTAGAAGCCTAGGGCTTAAATGGGGCTGGGTGGCTTCAGTCATCCCTTCATAATACTGACTTGCTCGCCTGTGTTTCTGCTGGTTTCATCCAGCTGAGAGACGCATGTGACAGGGTTTTGCTTCTACCAGGACGGAAGCTACAGAATTTTTCACATGTGTGTAGTTCTCTAAATTAGGGTCCCGTTTAGGGTCCTTTTTATAAGGGTGCCGTACTATATTGGGGACCTAAAAAGGGGACCCTAGTTTTGAAAACTACCCATGTGCCGAACAACATATTTACAGCCCGCTCAGACCCATACACCCCTGAAGCCATCAATTCCAAAACCGAAGCTTCGCGGGTCCTGAATCTTTTTTGTGTTTGGACCCTATACCATAAGCCCGGAACCGCAAAAGCCTAAACCCAAACCTCTAAATCGCACCTCGAACACCAAACATGCTGCAATAGTTGGGTCACGGATGCAAGAGCCAAGTCAGACCAAGGTTCTTTCCTCGCAGCCCCATTTCAGTTACTGACGCCGCTCCTGTGACCTTTACAGAACCAGAAAAGGACCTCTCTAAAGCAGATTCAAAAAAACGAAAGAGCGATTGAAATAAACTGCCACATAGAACTCTGAAGAATGCCCGGGCCTCCTTTCTGTGAGCACGAATCTCCTTTCCGAGATGTTCATCGTCTTCATCTTCGTTCCTGGGCTTGGGGCCTCCTTAAACTCATGGCAGTCCTTGATTGGGTTCCTATACAATCTTAGTCTTGGGGTTTATAGGGTTTGCAGGGCTTGCAGACTCTGTCACGCGGCCTAATGACGGCTTTCACTCCTGCACAAGCACCGCAACTTTTCGCCAGCTGGTCGCCTCAAAAACCCACGATCATCTTTGCAGACATACGCAACCGGAAATCACAGCAGGTGCTTTTTCCATACGTGGCATTCGCGAGATTCACAATGGTTCGGGTGCTGCCATGTCTTGCCAGCGCGAAATCCCGGGCACAGAAAGGCAGGGTACTTGACGACCGCAGCCTCGATGCGTGGGACGTTTTTTTGCGGGGGGCCAAACCTCTGCGGATCTACGCAACTATGGTTGCCACTACTGACTGCCTCAGGTCGGGCCCCCAAGGAGGCGAAAGCAAAATGCACAGCAGCCGGGCGAAGATGTTCACTTCACCGGGCCATAGGAATACAAAGGAGCTGAACAAAGAAAGTGCCGACACTACGCAAGTCCTCAGCGCCCTTCAGACCACGTGGCCGGCAAAAGCGCATCCCAGTTTGACTTGCTGGTCAAATCTGGAGGCCTCCTGCCCAAGAAACCACCTGGAAGAGTGTGAACCAGGAGGCAGTTGAGGCCCAAGCGCCACTGATGTCGAAATCCTCGTTGGAGTCTCTTGTTGTGGCCGTGGCCGTGGCAGTGGCCGTAGTCGTAGCCGTGGCCGTGGCCGTGGCCGTGGCCGTGGCCGTGGCCGTAGCCGTGACCGTGGCCGTGGCGGTGACCGTGGCCGTGGTGGCCGTGACGGTGGTGGCCGTGGCCGTGGTGGTGTCCGTGGCCGTGACCGTGGCCGTGGACGTGGCCGAGGTGGTGGTGGCCGTCAGTGGGCACACTGTTGCAGCATCACTCATCGTGAAGCTAGTGGCGGGCGAAGTGCAACTCACATAGTTCGGAAGGGAATTGACTAACCAGTTGTGTCAGATCAGCAATTGCCGCTTTCACGTCTGCCACAGTGCCACTGGTCACGCCCTGATAGCACATGCTGACCACACTTCCCTTTGTGATGGCATCGGCAGAGTTCGCTGTGAGGCCAGCAGGCAAGGCAGTCTGGTCCCCGGCGACGTAGCCCCAAGTATCTGCTTCGGTGCTAGCAGCGCAAAGAGGGGTGTCGTCTGCGCTCACGGCAATCAAGGTGTCACCCGAGTTCGAGAGTTGTCCGTTTGCATTAGGCCATGCGAAAGCATTGCCAGAGGTCTGACCCTGTACTCCACCAAGGGTTACTCCCGGCAACTGGCACGAGGGAGCTGTGTAAATCAAATCGTTGTCGCGGCTTGAGGCGACCCAATTGCCGGAGCCATCGACCTTCCGAAACGTCACTCTGATTGTCTCACCGGCACTCATCGGCTCCAACAGCACAAGCTTGTAGTTGTCTGGGCCCTGTCCGTCGAACTCAATGAAAGCACAGCTGCCAGGACCAAGAGCAGCAAGGCCGACACGTGCCAAGCCGAGAACAAGCGCCAGACCGCGAAGCGCCATACTGCTCAAATCTGTCTGGAAAAGAGCTGGCTGTGGCTGTGGTCTGAGCAGAACTTCGCACTCATGAAAACTCGAATATGGACAAAGCTGAGCTCACTTTGGATTGCACTCGGACAAAGGCTGGTAAGCCCCCCCCTCGACAAGTGGGTTTTGATCAAGCCCTGAACCCCAAACATCAAAGTCTCCGGCCATGGACTCCACAGACCATCTCCTGATCCTTTAGCGCCTCTAAGCAATGCCTCAAGGAACAATTCCTACATTGCGAAAGCTAGTGCGGCTCAGAATTACCAACAATATTCCTTTCCTATTAATTATGCTTATCGCATTATATTCTAAGACAAAACACTTATATAACACCCCACACTTCTAAACTCGATGTCTTCGGCTAAAGAGTTGAACATGCCTATAGAAAGCTTTCTGTTGTTCGGTAGGGTTTAGGGTTTCGGGTTTAGGAGTTTAGGGTCTACAGGGTTTAGGGTGTAGGGTTTAGGAGTTTAGGGTCTACAGGGTTTAGGGTTTAGGGCTTCGGGTTTAGGAGTTTAGGGTCTATAGGGTTTAGGGTTTGGGGTTTGGAGCCTAGGGTTTAGGAGTTTAGGGTCCATCATGTTATACCTCAGCTTAAGCCTTCACACGTTCAAAAGCGTGCCACACCTTGTCGGGAATGTAAACAAATGACATTCTACTAGTCTTACCTAGAAGTGAATGGTAATTGTGGTACATAATTACAACCGTTCACAGGTAAGTGCATGTCTGTGTACAAGTATTCCTTAATAACTTTGTATTGACAGCACTGTCGATAATCATACACAGTTATTACCAAGCCCTAAGCCGGAACACGTTTGAGCCCGGATCGGAATATGGACCCTCGCTTCCTCTTTACCCATAGGCCCCATAGTAGTTCCTCTTTGGGGTTCATATTTAGAATCCTACAAGGTAATCCCAAAAAGGAACTACCATGAGGCCTATGGGTAGGGTTGAGGCGTCGACCAAACATCCGCAGTAGGTGTTTTTTGGTGCGGCGGAGCCACCGCGACGTACGTCCGATATTTTAGAGCAAGAGAATGCCGTCACGAACGTGGAGTTTTTAATTTCCCGCCCCGAGAAGCGCCCAAAACTTGTGCAAAAAGCTTACGTCCTGAAGCGTGTTCAAAGTCACAAAAAACTCAAAGCAGGCACACACAAAGAACGGCGCTGTTTTGCTGCAGAATGTGCCCCGACCCTGTGGGCACACAGGGACCCCCGGATGTTTTAGAGCAGGCACACAGAGTCCTTAAACCCCTAAACCCTAAACCCTAAACCCTAAACACACACACACACACAAAGTCTGCGGCCGAAGGGGCAAATCACGAAACTCGCGACGAAGTCGATCGGGAGGGCTGGCCGGCAGCCGACCTCGGATTTCACGGTTTAGGGTTTAGGGGTTTATAGGGTTCAGGGTTTAGGGGTTTAGGGTTTAGGGGTTTAGGGTTTAGGGGTTTAGGGTTTAGGGGTTTAGGTTAGGGTTTAGGGTTTAGGGGTTTGGGCTTTAGGGTTTAGGGCATAATTCCCGAAAGGACTCCCAAGCGGTTTAGGTTTTGGGTTTTGAGGGTGTAGGGTTTAGGGAATTCAGGAGTATACCTTAAGAACTAAAGTATTTAAAATAGATTCCTTAATTAAGGGGTTTCGGAGTCTCTGGGTCCGGCTTAGGGTTTAGGGTTTGGGCTTTAGGGTGTAGGGTGTACTTAGGGTTTAGGGTTTAGTATTTGGGGTTTGGGGGTTAAGCGGTGTGCGATGGATAGCCAAAAAACATCAAGTTCAGCGTGAGGTTTTTGAGGATTTTGCGTTTCGGGTTTAGGGTTCGGGGATGGCTCTAGGGTTTATAAGGGTTTAGGGCATTCTATTTTGTTTTGCCACATTCGGGGTCGGGATTGAGGGTTTGCGGTTTGGGTATTGCTTCCTGTGCTCAAGACTTGAGGGTTAGTCAAGCACTGTGGGAGCAGCTCAGAGTGTTTATAGAGCTGTTGTAAGCGTACATGCTCCCCCTCTTTGCATTCTACAGCTGGGTTTACGCACCATCGCTTGTCATCAAGTACTGATTCAGTCTTGACGGTATTGTTTTGCCGTGCTTTGTGTGGGTGGATGGCTTCCATGATACAAGCACGACACATCTGAAGCAGACAAACAGATTGGCGTGCACACCTTGCGAAATACGAACTTTAGATCTGGAGGGAACAGCCCAGGCCACAGCCACGAAACCCTAGAAAATACAGCAAAACACGAACTCCCAGATCCAAATCCTGAGCCACATCCAGTTTCTCAGCCTCCTGTTTCCGCAGGAAAAGAATCTCCGCCAAGGTGCTAACTTCCTGGTGCAACCTGCACACAGTGGGCCGCAGAAGCACTGGGATATAGAGATAATGTATATATATATATA